AGACACGAGTAGGCAAGTTCTTTATGTTTCTCGTGCACGGGAGAGAACTGGACAAACACCGTTCCTTCGCTTGACCCCTGTTGCTCTCATCCGCTCCCCCGTAACACTGCTCTTTTATAGAGATTGACAGACCACGTGACTTTCGCGCATTGCATGACGGGTACTCGTGGCAAAACAATCAAAGCAATGCATCAAACGCAAGCATCTGCAGCACCGCAAAACGTTCATTCTCCGGTTCCAATACCTTCTTGCTTTTTCTTTGTTCCCCAAAAAGGTTATGTACAAAATGAAGGAGAACAATGCCGGTCCGTACAAAGACAGACTTGATGTCAAAGAAAAGATAGGAGGGAAAAAATCAAAGGAGTGAAAGGGTTAAATGGCCTGTATTTATATAGCACTTTACTAGTCCCTAAGGATCCCAAAGCACTTTACATATCCAGTCATCCACACACACTGGTGATGGCAAGCTACATTGTAGCCACAGCCACCCTGGGGCGCACTGACAGAGGCTGCCGGACCCCTCTGACCACCACCAGTAGGCAACGGGTAAAGTGTCTTGCCCAAGGACACAACTACCGAGACTGTCCAAGCCGGGGCTCGAACCGGCAACCTTCGTGGCTCAAGGCGAACGCCCAACTCTTGAGCCACGATCGCCCCGCTTTCAGCCTTGCGATATATGACTACATGCTCAGCCAGCTGAGCGAAAACCTGTGCCCAACTGCATTAAATCACCAGATTTGTAGAAGGCATAGAGATGGGAAGCCTAACACATGAAACACAAAATGACCACCATGTATTCTATTTATTTCAACAAAGTAACTGTATTCTGATTACCACCCATTTAAATGGTAACTGTAACAGAATACAGTAACTCATATTTTGTATTTTACATGTATTCCATTACTTCCCAACACTGGTAGTAGGAACAGAGAATGATTGGACTGACAAGAGCTGTTACTTTGCAGAGATGATCATGAAACAGTGGACTCCAGGGTGGAGTAGGTTGCACAGTCTCTAACTACCTGTCCATGCCAAACAGCCAAAGTGAAGATTAGCTCTCAACTTGTTTACAGCCAAAGTACAACAGAGTCATGGGGTGCCAGGATGTCACTGCAGAAAACAACCAGTAAATATTGTTTATATTGATTGTTTGTATGGATAGCACAACCCAGTGGAGAAAACTGTGTAGTTCTAGCTTAAAGGAAACAGCCTACTAAACATAATATTGTTCTTTCAATATTATGTAACCATATCACAGTCACATGTGCTTCTACTCCTGGTGTTAGTTCAAAATAGCGAGGGTTGCATCGGGAAGAGCATCCAACGTAGATGCTATGCAAAATAAAACATGTGGATATAAAGAATGATATTTCAATGCAGATCAGCTCAAGCCTAGATTAACTCCCCCTGTTGATATTGTTCAACATGGTGCGTGTGGAAAGGAAAAGGAAAGGAGAAACGTTGAGAGCCAGGGTCAAAGTATAAACGGAGGAGTGTGGAGGTAACAGTCGGGACTCTAAAGGGTCTAAAGGAAGCAGCTGAAAGAAGAAGAAGATGACTTAAAAGAACTATGTCAGAAATATTTCACATAAACAGTCCAGGGTTCGTACGGGTGCTTGAAATCCTTGAAAATGTCTGAATTTTAATATTGCCTTTTCAAGGTTTGAAAAGTGCTTGAATTTCAGATGTGGTGCTTAAAAGTGCTTGAAAGTGTAACTGTAGTTCATTCACCACAAATAACTTTCTGAATGAATAGTTTTCTTATCTGATAGAGAAATAAAATGAGTCGCAAAATGTAAAAGCAAAATTTCCATGCCTGGGCTGCCTTGTCTGTTTCAACATGTGACCCCGCCCCTCCCTCGGACACTCGGGGATGAGTGCGCTATTATAACTGTAGGTTGCTGTTTTAATGAGTGTTTGATGGAAAACGACAATGGCGGAGTCACATGATAGGCGAGTGCTAGTAAATAATTTTCCAGTACGTGTACGTTACACATGCTATTTTTTAAAATTATGATTATTATTTTGCTATCCAACTCGCTGGAGAAATGATTGAAATGCACTGAGTGTGATGCAGTATGGCAACACTATTATGGGATATGCTGTGAACTTAGGTAACATTACTTAGCAGTAATGTGAGTTAATTTACTCAAGTGAAAGCTTTAAACATTAGCCTAATACATAACTAGCCAATTTAGGCTTTCTGGTTAACCCTCTGGGGTCGACGGACCCAGAGTCTCCATTTCAACTTGGGTCGAACTCGCGGACTTCAAACTATATACCAGTTTTTAAATTGTGTTGATAGGTCATGTAAAACTGAAGTTTTTTGAGGGGGGTTTCTGAATAAAACAGTGGCGTTTACTCCGGGAAGAAACGGTATAAACGGCGTTTTCTATGGAGAGCGCTAGCAAACACGCTTTGCTTGTGAGTAAAAAAAGAGAAAGAAAAAACACTTTTCCCTATTGGTGGAAAAATGTACCATTTCGACCAATCAAAAAATGATATGGCAACATGTGGCATTTGGTTACTTGGGAAGAGGTGGAAGTTTTAGGAGTGACCGGCGACAGAGAGCGAGTGAGCGAAAGAGAGAGAGGGTTTTGATACGTGAGAGATTTGTGACGTTTACCATGTTTGGAGTCTCAAGTTAGTGTGTTGTCTTGTGTAGTTAGTGTGTAGTGTAGTCGTTGTTTTGTTCTACTAGTGAACGTCACAGTTGCTGCAAAAAAGCCACCAAAGGCAGGTTGCAGTGTAAACGCTGAGTGACACACCTGCTGTCAGACCTGCAGGTTTATCCCTGTGCTGTTCTCATCTGTGTTATAGTGGACACAAACTATTTTTTGGAGTTGCATAAATAATTTGTGTGCCTTCTTATTTGATGCAGAACACCTGATTGTTCTGTAAATAGTTTGAAATGGTTATATAAAAAACGCCTTGGCCGTATTTGTAAGTAAATGGTACCATATAACTTTGTTATTTGCAAAACTTTTTTTAAAAATATAACATTTCTATTTGCATTTCAAGTTATGAAAATGATTCGTTAAACATGCTTGTGGTTTTTACAGTCAAAAATATCACTTTCTACTTGTATTTTAAATTTTGTCTGAATTTAAATAAATTGTGCTGATACAGTTTGTCAAAATGAGAAAATAACAGATTGGCAAGATAAACAGTTTTTAAAGGTGAAATATAGAGGCCAAATCTAAATTAGTCAAAAATGGCCAGTTATACCCTGGACCCCAGAGGGTTAAAGGCTAAAAGTAAAGTTGTTACCAAGTACTGTTTATATTTGTGTGTATTGCTGCAGCTTTTTTGAGTATTAACTTGGTGCCTTTGGGTGAAATAATGGTAATATGAGGGACCGATCCATATGGTCACAAAGAATAGCCACTTGTTTCTGTGCTACCAAAGTTCCCCGGCTTTCATTCAAAATGTGTTTCTGGTCAGCACCTGCACATTAAACTACTTAAACATTATAAATGTCTTCAAGCTCACACTGAGGCCTGTGGGGCACAATCAGCCACTCAGCCAGTACACACATTTATATGTGTATTTGTACATGAATATTTCATACTTTAAGGCTTTCTGTTTATTTAAGGGAGATAAACAAAATACATTGGAATTGTACATAATAATATCACAGATGATAAATTCAATAGATTTTAAGTAGATGCTTGTGCATCCTTAAAGTCTTATATGTTGAATTGAACTATGTGATCTGTTCAAAGCCTCCCAGTCAGTGCTGTTCTCCATGTTCTCCTGTCTGACTGTACATGATGTTATTAGCACAAACACTTCAAAGGTGATCATTTAGGACTCCAGCAATAATACAGACAGCAATGTAGTTAGCAATAGAACAGTTTTATTGGGAATTAACTTAAAAAACAAACAAACAAACATATGTCTCCTATTTTTTGTCACACAGGAAAGAAGCATCAGTATCTGATGAGAAGACGCATTTATTTAGTTTTTTTTTTCAACAGGAGAAGAAAATCTCTAACAGTTGATTTGTTCACATTTTCACATCTTAATTTTTAAGTGAAATGTGCATTTCGAGTTTATACACTATGTATATAAGAGGACCGTTTCCTTTTGCAGTATTTTTGTGTGGTGCATTTTTAACAAAAGGGGAACAAAGGAACAAAGTTCACCTAGGATGATTTGTTTAAATGGTCTTACTGAGGTGATGCAAATTGAAACATGCATTTAAAAAAAGGGGGGGGG